ATTAAAGTTGTACATGTGACCAATTGTACTCTCACTAACCAATATAAACCTACAAACAACTTAATAAAAATTAACTAGCATCGAGGCCTTGTTGTAAAATAAAAAATAAAAAATAAAAAAAAAAAAAAAGAATAAGTTGATCTAGAAGATAATTTCTCAGCTACTTTTCTAACTCAGCTCTTTATTCAAGAACTTTGATCAGAATATTTAGTAAATATCTAAGCTTCAAAATTAGCAGATCTAGTAGTAGCAATTACTGTAATACAAAGATAGTAAACTAGTAAAATTATAGCTTCTAATACTAGCACTAATACTATAAAGCTATTAAATAACTCAATAAATAAATAGCTAAGCTAAATATTAATTTAGCTAAGAAACAGACTAACTCTATCTCAAAACTAATCTACTACTTAATTAATTCAAACAAAAACAGATTTGACAACAATAATCAACAGAACTCTACTTGCTTTTACTATTAAAGTAAAGATATTTTATTAAAGATTGCTACAAACAAAAAGAAGATTTTTAATATAATTTCTACTCTAACTTTTAACTCAGTTGCTAAAATAGTTTATGTTCTAACAACAACTATAGATCAAATAAAAAAAAGAATAATAATAATTACTATTATAATTATTTTTGATCTCAAGAAAAAGATAGATCAAAAAATAATAACTGATCTGATAATTGCACTAGATATAATAATAGATCTAAAAGCTAAGAAAGAAGTCACTTAAGAGATAGATATAGAAATAATAACTGAGATAATAATAACAAAAGCAAATTCAGAAGCTAATCCTTTACTCCTTATTTTAGAGAAGCCTATGCAGTTAATTTTATTAATAATTATAATTTTGAGTAATTTGAATTGTATTTCTTTAATAAGTTAATACAAACTACTATTAAAATCTACTTTGCTACTCCTTTTCCTAATAATACTATTTAGACCTCAACTCATACTATACTCATAAAATACAATATTAAAATCAAGAATAAACTCTATTAGACTATTATTGATAGTAATATTTCAATTAGTAGAATCTTATACTAAATTGTTAAAAAACTAGGACTTAAAATAGATACTTGCTCTTCTAGCTTAATTGTATTAGCTACAGAACCCTCTATTAGACTTTTAAAAATAATCAAAAATTTCTCTATAGAAATTGAAGGAATAACTATCCTATTAGATATAAAAGTTATAAATACTACCTTTTATTCTCTTCTTTTAAGCAATAACTAGTTACAAAAAGTTAAAACTATCTATAATTAGAAAAATAGTACTTATACTTTGGAATGGAATAATTAGAAAATTTATATATCTACTATATACAAACAATACTAACTTTTACCTACTTAACTAACTATAAAAGAATAGTATAAATTAGACTAATTCAAATAAGAATTTTTATTTTAAAAAAAAGCTTATATTTTAACAATCACAGGCTTAAATACTAATAACCAATTTTAAATAACTCTAACTCTTAGACCCAGAAACAGACCTCTTTTAAACAATAAATACAGAAGATGCAGAAACTGTTACTCAAATAAATATATCTTTGCAGACTGCTCTAATAATTAATACAATAAATACAAATAACTAGAATATATTTCTGTATATTGTTCTTGTAACCTACCAAAGCTAAACAATTACAAAGTATATAATAATACTGAGCATTAATATGCTAATTGCTTTTATAACTATTGCTATCAATACAATGAGTTTGGACATATCAGTATCTATTGCTTTTTTTCTTTTTTTAAAAAAGTTAACTAACAGTATAGATATAGATATAGCCAAGATGAAGTAGAAAACAAATGAATAGTTTACTATAGCTACAAATGAATAAACTATTGCTATAGATATAAAACTTCTCAAATGTCAGAAGATATTTGCCTTCTTAACAATACTCTAGCATACAAGATTTGTTGAACTGATTTTTACTAACAACTTTCTAGAAAAGACTCATGAAGCATCAAATATTTTATAAATAGTAATAAACAAGGTCTCCTTACTAAATATGTCTTCTGTAAAGAAGAACTAGAATACATAAGTTAAATACAACTTAGAAAGACTCTTAGTTTTGTAACCTGAAACATTTTTATATATACAAAGCAGTCTAAGATATAGAATAGAATTCTAACTATAATCTATAAACTAAAATATGTTACTATATTGAATCTACTAGAAATACAGGATATATATATAATCTAAACCAAAGCAAAATTTTTTGCTTTACTAAGATCTAGTTAGATGAAAGCTGACAAGATATCATTGAAGCTTTAGAACCTAAATAAATAACCAATCTAATCAAAACTATTCAGATAATAATATTTATCTTATCATAAGATCACTTTATATAACTTTCTCAGAAACAAAACAAAAAATTTTAAATCAAATCCTATGAGAATCTTTTGACCAGACTTACTCTGAATTTGACTACTATAAAGCATTAGAAAATCTTCAAAAGAATTTTAATAATAGAGTAGTCTTTTGCAAAAGTTGCTTTATATCTAAACAGAATACAAACAAACAAATCAAATTATTAATTATTTACATGTAAAAAATCAATTTAAATTTTTAGTGCCACTTTTTTTTTAAAAAAATTACAAGTTTTTTTTATCAATGTAATAAATAATTATTGAACAGCAGTAAATCAAATAATTTGCTGATAACGAAAACATAATTTGCTAAATTATATCACAAATTCCACAGGTTCCTGGTTGTCGCTCAATTCCCCGAAAACTACTTACCCGACAGTCCATTTACCTGATATCACATAGGGTGACAATTTAGCATTTAGTTGCCTATAGGAATATTTCATTAGTAAATTTTCACCTCATGTGATATCGGGTAAATAGACTTTCGGGTAAATAGTTTTTGGGGAATCGTTATTTTTTATTCTGTCCAATGGCGATAAGCTTGTATCATATGTTATGCTTTTGAAATTACAGAATTACCCCAAATGATAACGAGTATTAGTCATTTAAACAATTTAACATCACTGTACCACAGTAAAAAAGTAAATCGGATCAATACGTACCGTTTTTCAAAATTCCTTATTTAGAAGAATATTAAAGCGAAGCAATTAAAATTAGGAAATTTGTTAAAAATTCGCACAAAAATCAACAATTACGTGCAGTATGCACAAAAAATAAAATAACCTTCTAATTCCTGTATAAAAAAAATTATTTATTTCTTGTATTTTCGATTTTTAAGCCAGGTTTCGTTAGAGTTAGTTTTTTGATGCAGTTATAGTTACTATTTTATAAAAATATCAAGAATGCAATTTATGCAGTATGTACGTACTGTACCCCAGTAAAAATAAATCAGCAACTACCTCGTGTAACTAGGAGAATTTTAGAGAGTCACTTATGAATTAAATAAGCAAATTTAATTTTATTTTCATTCTCACGCACTTAATAGAAAGAACAAATTCAAGGCTTTTTTATGAATCAACTAAATTTTTGATTATAGTAGTAGATGTGATTACCGTAGTGAAGTTTACCAAAAATTAAAAAAAAAAAGATAAAAAATGACTAGCGCTAGTTTATTTGAGTTGTTTACTCTTTATCAGATAGTTTTTGGGCCCTGTGCAATAATTTTTTCATTTTTCTTTCTATATTATCATTATAAGAAATTAAGAAATGATATAAATGAGTGGTTTTTTTTGTTTTTAGATCTATTTTTAATGCTTTTTATTTTTGGCATGGCTTATTTTATTTTTACTCTTTTTATTACTCTATATATGTTTTTTTGCGCTACGCCATTGGCTTCTTTAATACCACTCAATATTAACAGTATTTGGGGTCGCATACTTATTTCAACGAGAGTTGGTACTCCAATAACGATTTTGGACTTCTTGATGTTTTTTCTATATTCAGAATATAAGAAATTTAGAAACTACAGAGGACAGTGGGTCAATAGTTGGAGAAATAATTGGTTTTCTTTGCTTTTAAAACAAACTTCAAGGTTTTTTATTCTTTGTGTGAACTATATTTTGAATATTTTCTTAATTCTACAAGTTTTTTTTTACGTATTACCACTATTAATTTCATTAATACCTGATAATATTAATGATTATTTAAAATTATTGATAATTTTCTCTCCATTTACCTTGATGGCTTTGCTTACTCCCTTTTTCGTAAAAGTTTTAAGAAGAACAAAAAGAGCATTTAATCAGATCATCAATTACTGGGAAAAAGAAAAAGAAAATTTGGCCACTGTAAGAAAATGGATGTCTTACAGCCGGCTTGTTAAATATTTCTCATTGCTTCTTGGTTTAACTAGTGCTATTCTGGCTGTTCTCAATAGGAATCAGAATGAAAAAATTTCTAGCGCAGCTACTTCTTTCGCAGTAATTAATGGAGCAATAATAATAACCAATGAGTTCACCAAGGAATTTGTTTTAGAACCAATTAAAAATAGATTAGAATTTATTAATTTGGTAAATAATTTGGGCTCACGTCTCAGGAGTATCTAGTATAATAGTATTCGGTTCTTTTATAGTTTGTGATAAAAACTTTAAGTTTAAGGTTTATTCAAATAGTATGTTGTAAACAGATAATAAAATTTCGTTTCTTAAAAGATTCTTCTTAAAATTTTATTAAATTATCTAATGCATAAATATAGTGCGCATCGAGCTGTTCGTGCACAATTAAAACTAATAACATAACAATTAGCAATTTATACGTAGCGATGAATTTTATATCTATGCATATTTGTGTATGCATGAAATAAGGTACAATTTTCAGATCGGTCTGCTTTCTTTATTAAGCAAACATTATTGTGAGATATACGTAGATTATTGTAAAAACGTCAGAGCTGAATCTCAAATTCTACATATTTAGTCTGATGGTCTTTAGATACGTTTAATCAGAATTACATGAAGGGGTGTAAAATGTTATGCGTCATTTTTCAATTTACGTCGATTATTAATTGACGCCTGTCATTTTTCATGTAATCAATGATGCTTATGACTGACAGAACTTATTACGTATTTATTGATAAGAATGATGGTGAATAAATAAAATTTTAAAAATGGTTTTTTTAAGAAGTAATTTATTATACTTCATTTTTTCTTCGTTAATAATTATATTTCATTTTTTTCTTCGTTAATAATTGTACTTGATTTTTTTCTTCGTTAATAATGAACCCACAAAGTTGTTCTTTTCTAACCCATGAGACTTATATAAATCAAAAAAATAAAATAAGATAAAATAAACGAAGCTTGATGGACAGCGCACGATACAATAAATGTCTATACTACAAAAAAAAATAAAGATATTCAGTGTAACCCAACGTTTAAACATTAAGCGATTAATACTTTTAAAGTTCATCGCGTTGGTACTATATAACTTCACATACGTATACAAGGCAGAAATAATATGGGAACCCAAGAGTGCGTGGTTGAAAATTTCTACGAAGTTATTTGTGGAAGACCTGGCGAAAGGTATAACTTAAAAAAAAAAAAAAAAAAAAAATTATAAATAAAATTTATATAAATAAAAAATATATATATATATATTTATTTATTTATTTAATAATAAATAGATTCGTGTTCTGCAGTTAGTCGAAGAAGCTGTTAATAAATGTAAGGTATGCGTTACTCAGAGAGTACCAAAAAGAATGCGTCCAATTATTTCTGAATTATATACAGACAAGTGAATAATTTAAAAAAATTAATATTAATATATATGTTATTAAATAGATATTATTGCTATGACACGAATTTCTGATGAGGGATGTAACTTAAGAGTACCTGAACCAACTCAAGAATGCTCAATCTAAGAACGCTCAACTCATACATTTAAAAATTTTTTAAACTTTAATAAAAAGTTTACTAACGCTAATATGCAATGATATAAATAATGGAAATATTGATTCAAGCTGAAGACCTCGTCCAAATTCTTGTCATTGCCGAAAAATTAATTGTAATATGAAATCATGCTCTTGTAAGAAAATAATTCTTATATTCAAGACGCTATGGATATGTTTTACATGGATAATACAAAATTGGTAATTTTATTGTTAAATATCAATATCAGATATATTTTCATTAATTTAATATGTTCGGTTAAACGTACAGTACGTCAATTAGCATTTAAATAATATCAGAATTTTTTTTTTTTGATCCGTAAATTTCATACTGATTGAAAAACGACGTATGTCATTTTTCAATTGAAAAATGACATGCATCAATTAATAATCGACGTAAATTGAAAAATGATGCATAACAATAAGAAAGAGAAGCCTCCACCTGAGAATAGCCGTATTACTGTGGAAGAGAGTGATTATTAATATTATGAATGGAAAAATAATTGGAAATGGGAGAGCACTTATCATAAAAACTATAAATGGTGTGAATTAAGTTATGATACCAAATGTTATAGTAAAAGTACTACTATATTTACACGTAATAGCGCGTATGGTGTTATTTCGAAATCTTGACTTTTCTACAAATTGCCAATTTGACTCAAAATAACGCCAAAATAACGCGTCCCCTACCCTTCAAATTAGAGGTTGTAACCAATATAAAATTTCAACTCCGAGTCAAATAAAATAAATTAAAGTGCCCTTCTACAGTATATAATTTTTTATTTACTAAAAATTTACTAAATTATTCAAATTATCGCGCATGCGCGTTTCAAAATAACGCTTCGGTTTAGAAACATTCTTATTTGCCAAATTAATTTTTTGCGAATATAGTTATTACGTGAAAATACGGTAGTCTAATTTTAGGTATCATATATTGTTACGGCTGATGCTGGAAATGGAAATTTTAAATATACTTTTAATACGATTTTTTTTATAGTTAGATTAAAATTTAAGGTTAGGGTTTATAACAAAAGAGTATATTTGGATTTAGCTAAATCGAGACCCCTAATTTCGAGCATCAGCCATTTCCAGCTTCAGACGCGCATAAATTTAGTTTTAATCAATAATTAGTTGATTAACGTTAGGAATGGAAATATATTGAAAAGTCAATTTTATTTAGCGTAAGTAACTTGTGCTGTAGTGTATAATGAGTAAGTATTGATAAACTTGCATGATTTATTTTAATTACATTGACTAGAAAATGATAATTATAAAAAAGTATCTCCTTTCACTACCCGCAGAAACTTTTATGACGGATAATTATAGCGCTTACAAGTCATAATTATTAATTTGCTTTAGTTAAGGCAAAATATATAATCCTAAAATTTAAATAATTAGGATATTTGTACACTAAAATAAGTAATTTTAAATTTAATTTAATTTTTTTATCATTATGTATCCAATTTAAGCAGTAATTTCCGATTTATTTGCTGCAACAGAGTCAAATTTCTCTTTCCCACTATTGGAAACAACGTTAGTCTCCTTTATTTTAAATACTACGGGGAAGGCGAAAGGTATTGAAATTGCTAACAAAGCCCAACAAATAATAAGTTGTACTAGAAATGGTGTTCCAACCGCATCAATTCTCCAAGATATAGCACCACCTGCAGATTGAACCGCCTTATAATAACTTTAATTGAAAAAAATAAGATTAATAAGTATTAAAGTATAGATAAATAATAGTATTGAATAATAGTATTGATTAATATTATTACCCAGCATATCTTGCCAACACATTAGCATCATTAGTAAGAGCGCCCATAATCCAATATGCGTAGCACTGATAAAAATTAAAAACATTAATAAAATTCAAAACAATAAAAAAATAAATTAATAAATGTTACCTGATATATCGCATCAAATAGACCGTATGCAATATAAAGTACTATCCTTGACAAATATCCAGAATCATATAGATCCATATGAACAATAGTATCTTTATCTTCTCGTTTATAAGTTAATTGAAAAAAGAGACCACCCATCCAAATTCCCGTTAATATGACTGCAATTATGGCGAGTCCTAAAATTCCACGATTCCTTCTTCCTAATTTAGGAAAATCAAGAAATTTTCCAAACAAAGCGGCACCAATAATTTGTGCGGTCCAATACCATAAAGAGTTAAATGCTCTTGTACGAATATTAAAATAAAATGCGTTTATATCGTTAAACTGGAAGTGAATATAATGAGTCAGTAAAAAAAAGTTTTTTTTTCTTTTTTTTTTAACAAAAAAAATATGCATTTCTGATATGTTAAAGTATAAAGGTACCTGATATGCGTAAAACCAATTACTAGCAATAAACATAGGAAAAAGCGCAATCATTTTCCAATTAATTAATATTTTTGCAACACCGATAAGTTCTTCTTCCCATTTAGGAAATTTTTGAATAATAATATGTTGACCATCATCGCGTATAACCTTTTCAGGTGGAAGTAAAGCAAATGCTAATAAAGAACCAAGTCCCATAAGAATAATGAAACCAATGTAAGTTCCATCGTTTACAGATCCTTCAGATGAATTCCAATTAAGAGCCAATGGTATAATAGAACCAAGAACACCACCTTTCAAGAATGATCAAATAGATATATATTTATCTCAAGATCTAAGCAAAAATGCTAATTTGCTAAAAGA